AGGTATATTGAATTGACGTGCTGCTTCAGCAATCACTGTGATTTCCTGTTTCTTGATAGCCTCAATAGCAAGCAGGATTCTGCCCTCTTGTTCAATATATTTTTGGCTCGATTGAGTGCGTTTTGGTGGCATAGTGGGTGGTTGAAAATGGTAGGACGCGACGTGGGTGACGCGAACGCGGTAGGGTGGCGGGTCGCTTGGGGTGGCGGGTCGCTTGGGAAATACGTTAAAAAGATATTAAAGTGGGTTTGAATTTGCTAATTATCCAACCCAAAGGACAATGGCCTAGTTATTATCACCATTAAATACTCCGTTGGGTGAGATGTTGGCCGCTAGGGCGGCTTCCATGGGGGAATCAAGCGGGAGAGTAAGCCTGTTGATGAGGTTGATAAAGTTGTTGACTTGTGTGTCATTGATGAGCCATGTCTGTGACACAAGTTTCTTGATGGTTTTGATGTCTTTTAGGAGACTGTTGGGGTCTGGTAAGGCAGGGCCCAGCCGGAGGGATATCACGAATACCAGCGTGATGTGGAAGAGACAGTACCTGTTGCCTGATTAGCGTGTGGGGGTTTAACAAGAGACTAGCCCAAGACATACAATAAGAAAGATGCGGCTAGTCGTAGATGCGCGCCGCCCTCGATGCTCTTGCGGACCAGATCCAGGGATTCTCGAGCAGCATACAAACACCGTAGTCCGTTCTCTCGAAACACATCATTCGGGCCATCCTCAGACGCTTCACCTTTGCTATTCATTTTCACCCACTGTAGGAAATACGGACGCCACAGTAAAATCCGCAGGTTTCTGTCGCAGATTTGGAGCCGGTCACCGGAGAATTTCAACCACTCTGATCGGGGCGCATAATCCTCGTCTATCAGGTAGGATGGATGGGAAACCCGGCAGTCATCAATCATCTTCTCCATATCTTGCATCTCGGCGATAGAAATATTCGGTTTTGCCACTAGACGACGGTAGATAGCATTTGCCATGGCGTGGAATCGGGACTGGCCAATCAATCCGGAATACAACGTCGGCCCATTTACCTCGAACGGTAACAAAGAGGTCGTGGCATCGAGGTCCTTTCGTCAGATGTTAGAAATCGAACATATTTGAGAGATCTAATGACGCAACTATACCTCATCATGTACATTAAGCACCGGTCTAGTACTTATTTCACTATTATTTGGCAGCAGGAGAGGTAGGCCGAAGGTTTTGGCAGTGCAGCTGTCGAAAATGTAGATGGTCCACCACACTCGCCGTCTCATCTCTCTTTCAAAAACAGTAGAGAATGAATCCGGGCTCTCCCGGTGAAGCCCGAGGCCGATAGCCATCCGCACAGCAACGGAGAGATACTGCAACCCTGCGTCAGGCATGCCCCGTTTTTGTGCAAAATCACTCAAGAGCAAGAGCGCCTGTAAAAGCGTCAAGTTTCCTACCTCCATTAATGAGATCTTTTGCAGAAGATCTTTCGCTTGATGATAGAGATCCAGGTTGGCATTGGAGTGGACATTTCCTAGCGTCCACTCTCCCACTGCCATTAGCGCTTTGTGCAGAATCTGCCACGCCAAGCTGGGAGGATTAAATGCGCGGGCGCTAAGTTCAGCTCTGAATGTTGGCTGATGTACGACAGGATGGCCCGGATGGTAGTTCATGAAATATGCATCGACATATGTCTCCTCGTTGGGGGGTTGAAAACGACCCCCCTGAGCCAAATTCAGGCTTGGTTCCGGAAGCGCTGTACCAACTTCATGAGAAGACTCATTGTCGGCTGATGCTGAGAACGAATACAAGAGCTGATCGGGGGAAGCCACCGGTGCCGTAGTGACGTCCAGGTCATCCGGAGAAATGTTTTCTAAGGGTAGCAGGACATTCTCGGCGCCTTGGTCCTCCACCAGGGAACGGACAATTCGTTCTACATCCCCCGTCGGAAAAAGCCTCTCCAAGGCGGTCTCATATATACCCAGTCGCTCTTCGATACCAGTGAGATGACTACGATTCTAGTGTCAGACCGGGTAACTGGGTGGAAAATCAGCCGGCACTCACGCTCTAGTCAATGGGGTTCGGGAGACCTTCAGTGCATAGGTACACTCCTTCTGGTTATACCTGCATTGCGCGCATGTCGGTCGTTCCTTTGAACACTGCAAAGTCATCAGCATCGGTCATGACTTGAACCACCGGAGCTAGATTATATATTCACCTTCGATTTCCGGGCCCTGCATTCATTACACTGGCAGCTCATTAACATGCAATTTGTGTCGATGGGACATTGAGAGTACTTACGGATAAGATGTGTGGATTGCGAGGAGCCATTGTACCTGATATTGTCGTAGATACCCCAGATTATCTCCAGTCACATTAGATCCCGGTCCGGAGCAACTAGTTCGGGTAGGACGGTGTGGAATGCCAGGCCGAGTCACAAAATCTCTTTTTTACGTCCCAGGTATTCTGATTTGTTCTGGTTGTCGATTACCAATGGGTGACTAAGTGCTCTCAGTCTCGGGGGTGAACCAGCGGATTAGCCTAGTCCGGGCTCCACTCGGAGTCCGAAGACATTTGTATTATTCTAATCCATATCCGGGGTAGTTAACATTTGCCAGTTCCTAATGATTTCCGGCTTACCAAGGTATAGCTTCGGACTCGCGTGCATCACTGTACGAAGTAGTAATGCTTACACTCATTGCGCCACCGTCTCTCTGTACTCCGTGTATCTGGCTATAAAGATGGCCAGGGTATCTGGTGAAATAGAGTATCATATTCAATTGAATTAATTCATTCTATTCAAATTTCCGAGTCCAAATTTTTTCTCTGCTTCTCGCATCATTCCACCATGTCTAAGCTCATCACCGTCTTTGGCGCCACCGGCAACCAGGGAGGTTCCGTGATCAAGACCATCCTAGCCGACCCTGCAGTGTCGAAGGAGTTCAAGATCCGGGGTATTACCCGGGATGTCTCCAAACCTGCTGCTCAGGAGTTGGTGAAGCAGGGGGTTGAAGTCAAAAGCGTGCGTCATATTTCTTGCTTCCCTTGCTCAAGTGTCATGCTGACTGACCCCTTTACCAGGCCAATATGGACTCGACTGCTTCTCTCCTCGACGCAGTCCGTGGCTCTCACACGGTGTTCCTCATCACCACCCCATGGGGAGAGGGCGAGGGCGGCCCGGAAGTCGAGCTTACCCACGGCACCAATGTCACGAACGCTGCTAAGGAAGCCAGTGTTGAGCACATCATCTACTCCTCTCTGCTTAATGTCACCGAGACCTCCGGCGGCCGTCTCACCCATGTGCCTCACTTTGACCTGAAGGAGAAGGTCGAGAGGTACATCCGGTCGTCTGGTGTTCCGGCCACGTTTGTTCTGCCGGGTTACTTTATGTCCAACTTTGCTGCTTTCGGTATGATCCGTAAGGGCGATGATGGCGTTTACAATCTCGCATATCCAGTCACCAACAACGCCAAGTTCCCTCTGGTCGACGTTCCCGAAGATCTCGGTGGGTTCTTCGTTTCCTTGTATATGTGGGACAACTGACTAACAGTGACAGGCAAATTCGTCCTCGCGGCCATCAAGAAGCGCACCGAGCTCATCGGTGCCCAGATTCTGGCTTCTGCCGATTACTACACTCCCGCTCAGATTCTGGCTGACTTTGAAGCGGCTACTGGAAAGAAGACCCGATATGTGCAGGTAGATGCGGAGACGTATAAGGGATTCTTGCCGGCCCCGGTTGCAGACGAGCTTCTGGAGAACCACCTGTTTATCGAAGAGCCCGGATATTACAATGGTCGCGGCTTGGAGGATAGCAAAAGGCTGCTGTCGGGCCTGGGTTTGAAGACGACCTCTTGGAAGGAGTATGTGCAAAAGCACAAGGAGGCTTTGGTTTGAGGGGACTTTTATGCTTGAAGGCTATGAGGAGTACATTGTAGCAGATGCATGGCTATAGGTGGGAATTCAATGGATTTGTTTCGATAGCATTCCTTATACAATAGTTAAGAACGCAGGATATGGATGGCGTGTATATATCTGAGAAGACTTATGTGAGCTTTAGTATCTTCCAAGCAATGCTGTCGTCTCAACGTAATCATTTCCCTTAACACACTCCCAAATGACTGGCTGTGGCATAAGTTTGCTGTGAAAGTATTTTTTTTGAGTGGCTGATAGGTTTTTTCCAACTCAATTGGCCGTACGGCATCCGGAGGGCTGGCTTGGCTACCTTGGCCAGGATCAACGATCTGAATCAGAAATGTACAAGTGACAATCTTCGATTCTGGAAGCTTCTTGAACCTTTGAAATCAGCCTCAATTACTATTCAGTTCGAAATTATTCCATAATCGCTTAGTGAATTACTTCCTAAAAAGGCAAATTTCAGCACTGGATCTATCACACGACTCCTTCCAGGGCGCAGGATGATATCAGACGGCAGATCTACACGGTTTGCTGGCGTAATCAGATTAGTGTCGGGGACAACTCTAAGCCGACAGCATCTTTCGGTCCGTGGAGCACAGTCTTGGTCGGCATGAATACGAGATATTCGAGTCAGAGACAGGTCTACCACTTTCGGTATTTAAAGGGGATACAATTCCCCCTTCTTCTCTCAAATTAAAGCAGTTCCACCTTCAATCCTCTACAAACCACCACAATTCCTTGTGACATAAAACCAATCAAGCTCTATGGGGGATATTTCGGCCCCAACCCACTAAAGATATCTTTCTTCCTCTTGGAACTCGATATCCCCTACGAGAATGAGTTCGTCGATTTGGCCAAACTCAAAACCCCAAAATACGAAATCATTAACCCCAACGGCCGCCTCCCAGCTATCCACGAACCCAACACTGAAATCACCATCTGAGAATCCGGCGCCATCCTTGAGTACATCATCGACATCTACGACCAAGAGCACAGGCTCAGCTTTGCCCCTGGCACGAAGGAGTTCTACCATGCGTGTCAATGGCTATACTACCAGGTCACTGGTCAGGGTCCGTACTACGGCCAGGCTGTCTGGTTCAAGTGGTACCATGCAGAGCGGGTAAACAGTGCGGTACAGCAATATGTGAACGAGACCAAGCGTGTCTCGAAGGTGTTTGACAAGTGGTTGGAGGACAAGGAGTGGCTTGTTGGTGATAAGATGTCGTATGCTGATTTGGCATTTGTGCCGTGGTAGAGTAATGTGCAGAGTACGTTGTCTGACGAGGGGTATGATGCGAAGGGGTTTCCGCATATGACGGCGTGGTGGAAGAGGATGTCTGAGAGGCCGAAGGTGAAGGAGTTGATTGAGGCACAGGAGAGGCTGTTTCGGGAGATGCAGAAGGCCTTGGGTTAGTGAGGCTCCTCCAGGTGGAATGGTGATGATGTAAATTTTTCGGTCTGAAAAAAGCACTCAATGATATTTTGACGAATGTTCTGTGAGCTCTCAGGAAAAGATTTATTTGTTCCAAAATAGCCAGAATGCAATTATCCAAATCCAACTCATACATACTGCATTTCCTCTCATTCTTCTTATAGTTCTCGTCGACATGCCGCCTACTATTCCGTACATCCAATCTTTAATAAAGATTTTCTTCTCCGGAAACACCTAAACTCCTTGGTGGCTCAATAGAAAGGAGGAAGACAAGCAATACCGAACAGAGTCAAACCCAACCGCGATGAGAAATTTGTGCATCGAGTTGAATAAATATATATTTGGTTGACAGTCCATTACTCGACGTGATGATGATGTTGTCAAAACCAAAAGAGCGACACGAAGCGCCATCTGCACTCCAGTGATATCTCGTTAGACCCGGGGACCACAACAGAGGTATGCACTTGGTCGTTGTTTTAAAGGTTGACTTGTGCATTCATAAGTATGTAGATTAGTAATCAATGCAAATTAACTAACTAATTACAGCCTCGGGATCTTTTTCCTTGTCGACAATTTAAGTATATCTTCGCACAATGGACACGTCGAGATAGCCAGGGATTCGCCCCGCTTCTTGCACAGTATTTCCAGCAGGCAAGGCAAGCTAGCCTCTCACCGTCACTTCACCGAACAACAGCGATCGAGATTCTTCCGATGGTGACATGCGATTTGATCGTCGCTCGCATTGTATACGTATACAGAGTACGCCTGGCATACACATGCTGCAGGATCTCGAGTTCCAGTCAAATCTTAAATCAAGTATAAGTTGAAGGATCGTTTGGGCCGCTGATTCGACGACCGATTGGGAACTTCGGCTGGGCTCTTCTGTCAAAGTGGGACCGAGATCTCGCACTTGTTCGGGGGATCTTTGCGGGTCTTCAGCACTGACCAAGTGCGATTTTTTTTAAGGGAAGGGGGGTTCATGATTATTTTGGCTCTGATGTCAGTGGCATAAAAGGGTGAATGAGTCCCTGGTGCGGGTGGGTTATGAATTGATGCGGGATCCGTTCACATGAAAATTTTTATACCCGGTCCTTTTCTCTTTTAAACCACGGAATATACGGAATACCGGAAATTCCCATTGTCACTCGCATGCTCGATCTTCGTTGATTCCCAAAATGGCGCGACCCAGTATCCACTTCGGGGTTGTTTACTTCAGTATCGCAGCTCTGGTACATTTAAGACCCGAGTATAGAGTGCTCAACTCATCAGTCTTGACGTTCATCGGGTTGTCAATTATTGCGACAGCACTTCGGATCATCTATGATTTAAGTTTATATCCTCAATTCTTCACACCTCTCAAACAATTACCGACACCGCCGGTGAGATCCCTTGTCTACGCGTTAACCCGTCAAAAGGGACTTACTCTGACCGTCTGGACAGACGCGAACATGGCTCAGAGGCAACACGAAATCTATCTTTCTGGAGACTCCCCTGGATGAAATGGCGGACTGGATCAGGAATGTGCCCAATGATGGGCTGATCCGCTATTACATGGTTGGAAACCTAGAACGTGTTCTTTTGACATCCCCCAAAGCCCTCAGTGAGGTGCTCGTTCACAAGGCGTATGACTTCTGCAAGCCGGAACTGGTGCAGCTTCAATTAAGGCGTGTTACTGGAAACGGTCTCCTTCTCGCGGAGGGAGATGAGCATAAGGTGCGACTATTTCATTACAGCTTCCCACTAAAGTGTACTAACTCCGCTTACAGCTACAACGAAAGAACCTTATGCCAGCGTTCTCCTACCGCCATGTCAAAGACCTTTACCCGGTATTCTGGGCTAAGAGTGCCGAAATGGCGAACCTGATCGAGCAAGATATTAAATCTCGGAAGAACCCAGAAGACGATGTCGTCCAAATCGGTAACTGGGCCAACAGAGCGACCTTGGATATCGTTGGCCTTGCAGGAATGGACCATGACTTTGAGTCTCTACACGACCCCGACAATGAGCTCAACAGGCAGTACCGTCGATTCTTCAATGATGACCCCAAAATGACGAGAATAATCGTGCTCCTAGGCTTGTTTGCAGTCGACCTCAAGCTCCTCCAGAAACTCCCCGTCCGACGCAACAAGATCGCCCAAGAGACATCAGGATTCCTCCGCAGCGTTGCCCGGCAAATCATCCATGAAAAGCGCGAAAAAATAGAAAACAAAACCGAAAACAACGGAATCGACATCATCTCCGTCGCCCTACAAAGTGGCACCTTCACAGAAGAAAACCTAGTCGACCAAATGATGACCTTCCTAACAGCCGGTCACGAAACAACAGCCACAGCCATGCAATGGGCCATCTACGCCCTTTGCAAACACTCAGACGTACAAACCCGTCTCCGCGAAGAAATCCGCACAAACCTCCCCTCCATCTCCTCCCCCTCACCAGCCCCCTTATCCGCCGCAACCCTCGACTCCCTCCCCTACCTTAACGCCGTCTGCAACGAAGTCATCCGCTTCTACCCCTCCGTCCCAGCCACAGTCCGCATCGCCTCCCGCGACACAACTATCACCGGCGTCCCGATCCCCAAAGACACCTTCTTCATGATCTCGCCGCACATCATCAACCGACAGGAAGAATTCTGGGGTCCCGAGGCAGCTACATTCAACCCAGAACGATGGATCGACTCAGACACAGGACGCACGAATAAGACCGGCGGGACGAGTAATAACTACGCTTTGTTGACCTTCCTCCACGGCCCAAGGAGTTGTATCGGGCAAGGGTTTGCGAAGGTCGAGCTTGCTTGTCTGGTTGCTACGATGGTGGGCAAGTTTGAGATGGAATTGAGGAATCCGGATGCGAAGTTGGAGATTAGGAAGGGTGCCACGGTACATCCTAAGGATGGGGTTATGGCGAGGTTGACACCGCTGGAGGGGTGGTGATTTGGATTTGGATTTAGAGTGTTGAAGGTGTTTGGTGGTCTTTGTCTTTTATTTATCTCTTGTTCGTTGTTTAGCCAATCATATGTTCTACTTCGTAGTCTTGGGTGACGGCGAATTGCTAGAAGCGGTATAGTGTTCCTGTTTAGGTTTGTGCTCCATAAAGTCGCCCTCCATCGCTGTTTCAACTTCAACCAAATTTTTGTTGTTCTTCCTTTCACCTTTTCGCCCCTGCCGCCTTGTCACGGGGAATTAGCAGAGTTATATTTCATAGGTTCATATGCTGTGACATGAATTGGAGGGAAATGTCGAGTTGAGATCAGCGGGTGAAAATCCTGAACGCCGAGTTCACCGAACTTCTCGTGCACTCTAGTGGACAGATATTAGATGGATATAGTATGAGTATGGCAGGTGGAAGAGCGAGGGATCATACAAATTCTCAATATTTTGATCATATTCTTCGAATGCCTCTTATGGTTTCGTAGCGGATGACGAGTCTCTTGAGATACAATGAGTTGGTATATAGCTTCGGAAGACTGGTTTAAGGTGATCAACTAATGTATTGTGTCATCTTGTCTTCGGGACTGGAGTTCTTGGGAGGGAGGGCGTGTCTGGATAAAGAAAGAGAAAGTGATAAAATGGTTATTTGCTTTGCAGATTCAGAAGAGAGGTCTGTCGGCTATATATTACAGAGTACAGTGGGATCGCCTTCAGCTGAGGGGTAGGTATATCATAGGGGCCACGTATGATGCAGAGATCTGCAGAGCATCTAGTAATATGACAGGCGCAACATACTAGCATATGAGAAATTGTTGGGAGCTGAACTTGATTGTCTCTCTTTGCCCAATAACACTCTCCATTTACAACTCTTCCTGGCGAGAAAATTTGGTAGGGCCTGGTCCACCGTGGCTGAAGTGATGAATGTGGCTGGCTGAATATCCTTTTCTTGCTATGCGCAGTAGTAGAAGCGTATTATGCTGACTAGATGTAGTAAGGATTTCTTTAAATGCAACGGAGGGCTGTCTATTTTCAGTTGAGACAAGGATGCCATACTAATGTCAAGTGGTAAACCACGAATAGTAGAGCATGGGGGTAGTAAGTCCTAATGAGTCCCATTGTCACTAACAATGTAAATGCCATTTTGATTTAGATTACATCATTATTGGATCTGCTATTGATCTATAGATTTGGGTCTACATCATTGGTGAACAATGATGGATAGATAGACCCTCACATATCCAGAATGGGAAAGGTGAATGTTCTGCACCTCATTGGTGTTGGGATTGAGGCCTTCAAGTTGTAAGGCAGGATGACTGGTTTTGGCAAGTTTGTTGCCACTCTGCATTTTTGGGTCCCAGGTCGGCATAAGCTCTGCGGGGTCGCTTATGCTGGTGCGTTTTTATCCCAGACAATGTGGTTAAGGTCCCATGCTGCTTAATGCAAAGAATTCTTGATCAGATTTTTCCTAGCGACTGCAGAACTCTGCAGACAGCTTTGCTCCTTGCTCGCCGTACTGGGGATATGAAATTGATCGTTACTTAAAGCTCCTGGAAAACAGTTAGTACGAGCATTCAGAGCATTGCACATCATGCCAGGATCAGTATGCACAAACCTATAACTACACAAAGCGTCAAAAAATCAATGTTGTGTAAAATTAAGCCCATCGGCATCCGGATTTTCAAAAACAGTATCCCAATGCCTCTGAACATCTTCACAAAACCCATCCCCAGCCTCCCAAGTCTCAAAAGCACCCGCTAAAGTACAGCTCACTATCATGACCTCCTCCCAAGCCATCCGTTCAATATCATATCCAAGCCGCTGAACTGATGTCTGTGGAGTGGTCCACATCCTCCTCCGCCCATCAATCTTCCAACAGTTTTTTTTCCCCGGGGTTAAATTTGACTATATTCGCATAGATGAAGAATGCCCGAGGGGCAGCGGCCACAGATGTATCCTTTACCTGCCATTTCCCTTGCTGGGTAAGCTTGTAGTCCACCCCTGGATCGGCCTGCAGCATCACTACATGGATAATGTCATGGTCATTCCCTTCATAGCGCTGGCGACCCAGATCTGCAAATTTCTTGCTGGCTGTGTAGAATTTCTTGCCCACAGCAGCGGCAGCCTGTATGAATGTGTCCTTATCGCCTTCTCCCGGGGCACCCTAATCAAGGAGGTGGTAGTAGTGCAATGGGCCGTAGTAGTTGTAGTAGGCTGCTAGAAGAAGGGTGTGGGAATGGGCTTTCTTGGAGACCAGGAACACACCTGCTTCAGTTGTTGCGCAGTCTGTGGTGGCAAACTCAGGTTAGTGAGAGATGATGAAGCATAGTGGGGAGATGGTGCTGGCCCAGTAATCAGGCCAGGTGACCAGGCCTGTGGATTTGAATGGGTCGGTGGTTAAAAGGGTTGCAGGGTAATGGATGGGGATGCAGTCAGCATCTAGCCAGGTGACCTTTTTGAATGATGAGAAGAGGACCGCGAAGGATTTGAGTTGGTAGTGCTTGATTTTTACCCCATCTGTATTATCAGTGCTTTTTAGGTTTTCTAGGCCCATCACCTCTGAGAGCACTACACATCTCGCATTGAGTTCTGGGAAAGTCATTTCACAGATGTGCGACTTGTATTCAGTTGAATCTTTGACAAAGAGCTCTACCGGCAATGTACACCCAGTTCATCAAAGCAAACGCAGGGTCGCTATAAAGGTCGGCATATATTTAACCCCTGCAGACGACACGATGCCTTCAGTCAGAACCATATAAGGAACATCAATCCTTCGGGTCGCCTGAACAAAGCCATCATGCACTGTCTGCATGGCCTGTAAGATATCATTGGCCTTATTGATATGATTCTCCCAATCAATTTCAAACACAGCGTCATATCTCGGCCACCCTGCCGATTCAATCAATTCCAGAGGCGAACATCGGGGCACATATTTATCGAGCAAGAAATAAAATTGATCCCGGAATTGTATCTGGTGATTGTGGAATGCCGCCCGAGCAATATAGCTGACTTTCCAAGCCATAAATGATAAGTATTGACTAGAATGAGGATGACCAGAACAGTGGCGAAGATCCTCTTGTTCAGGTCAACTCTTCTGCTCGTCCACATTTTCGAAAATGCATTGTCAGTCCCGAGAAAAGTGGTAGGTAAGATGATAGTAATAAGCAACGTCAAAGTCAGCCTGGCGCTCCTAAAAGGGAATCCTGGTGGGACTGTCATTAAAACAAACAACAGCGAAGATCACTACACGTCCTAGTACTTGATAGCACCGTCAATTGGGACTGTAATCATTGCCGCAGCGAATCCGCTTTTCTAATTCGAGCCTCACCATGACTTAGCTTGCATCTTAGCACAGCGGTCTTTATTTCGGCTGTCGGGCAAGAGAGCACCCACCAAACAAAGAAATTCTTTTCGCTGATCCAGGAGGCTCTCTGGAACCTTACAGCTTCTCCGTTTCGAGACATGATTGAATGAGATTCAGTTTGATTCCGAGCTTTCCATGATCCATGTTGGAGAGGCAATTTGTGCTTCTGAAGAGCCTCCGATCCCTGTAAGTCTGTTGAATTACTGCCCCGGACACCGGATAACCTTTTCGGAAAATGTAGTTTCCTCCAGCCGGTAACTAGTTACCATTGGCACATTATGTTAACAAAACTAACTTGAATGGATGTATTGTCAATTCTTCTTAGGAGACACAGTAGCCATACGCTTTGTGCCATCTTGTTTTGTGTACTCGCTCCATTATTGCCTCTCTTAGTTATGGGGCGTGAAATAATATTATGGTACATTCTTCAGTGTGTGTGACAAGCTTACCTTGTAAATCCTTTTTGACAAGAAACTGTTACATACGACCATAGGGTGTGGAGAACAGGGCTTCCCGTCCGCTCAGCCGTACTTAAGCCACACGCCGGCCGGTTAGTAGTTGGGTGGGTGACCACCAGCGAATCCCGGCTGTTGTATGTTTTCATTTTTTTTGCTGTTTAGTTGCGATGCAGGTGATTGAGGTGATATGTTAGTACCCAGTGGGTCACTAGCCGATAGGCACCTGAGGAATAAACTAACTACGTTTGCCCACTAAAATGATACCTTTAGAGTTAAGGATGAGTGGGTGAGCATGCATGACCATGCAAAACAAAACCGCTTTTTAAAGCGGCGACGCCGCGACGGAAATGCCACGAAGTTTTGTGGCCTTTCCGCCGTCACCCAGAGTTACTCCGTATTCTCTAACGGCAGAGGTTCAAAAGCGAATGGTTCGTTCCGAGGTAAAATAGCAACCCTAACTTCCTACTATCATAACCGAATCAATAGTTACTATACTTCGCTAAGAAATAACCAAGAGTAGCTTAAACCGATAAATTTCACCAAGGCTTACGAATTTGGGCTATAGAAAATTTCTTCGCTAGACTCTTCTAGGTAGGCATACCCCTGTATATACCTAGCTAAATGATTAGGCCATGATTCATATATTCAAGATCGTGAATCTTCACACGGCAAAGAACAAAAACTGCAGAGTGGGGATCAGAGGACTCATGCCGCCTCTCATAGAAAGATATCTTTGCGACTCAGTAGGAGTTGCGCCCGCCAAGTCAGTCGTCATACTAGAATTTCTTGAGTGAATTTTGGGAGCCAAAAGCCGTCGTGACAGGAGAAGTTTTGTCTGCGCTTAACCTCGGAGGGTGAGTCAGATTTATAAAGTACAGACAAGAGGGCATTTAGGGCACTTGATTCGAAGTATAATAACTTAATCCAACAACATCCGATATGGTGTAATGGTTAACATCGCCGTCTCTCACACGGCAGCTCGGGGTTCGATTCCCCGTGTCGGAACATATCAGTGATTTCTTTTTTGTTTTTGTTGAACCATCAGTTTCTGCAATTACTTTTGCATTTTTATTCAATGGCTATGCTATTCAACGATATTCATCCCTGAAAACCATAACCCTTTCAGTCTCACCATATTCATCCTCCTCTATCCACGCCCTCCACATCCCTCCACAATTGAAATCAAACACAACCTTTCCATGCCGTAGTCTGTGCCCTTGGCTTTCCGCATTGACTTCCGCTTCCGCTTCAATCCCAATGATCCCGCCCTCTCCCTCGCGAGTTGTGCCCCATCGCTTTCCGGCAGAAGTCTGCAAGTCGCCACCCGGTCCTGCGATAGCCTTGATGGCCTGAGCAAGGGTAGTTGAAGAAGCGGGTGGTGAAAAACGAAGCATGGCGCTCGCTGTGCGAGCTGCTGCAATTCGTAGGAAGGAGTCGCCATTTCCTGTGCCGGAGAGAGCTACTCCTCGTCTTGTGGTGCGAGCGTGTGACTCGAACTCGTCTGAGTAGCCCTTCTCATCGTCGTCAGGGGTCCCCTGGTTATCGGGATTGGCTGCCGGGATAGATGTATATGCACTGTTTCTCTTGTTGATGAACGACGGCGTGCATTCTGAGAATAGAGACCGGATATTTTTGAAGCCCCAGGTCGGGGAATTTGGCGATGTTGGAGAAACCAATGCTTCCTGTTCGTCCGGGACTTCTTCTTCCTCATCCTCTGGAGAATATGATGGATAATTAACATCCCAAGCCTCCGCCCAGAACCCGGAACCCATAGTCGGTGTATCACCAATCCTCCCAGGCCATTTATTCGTGAGCCCTCCGGTACTCGTCGCAACAGCCAGATTCCCCCATTGATCAAGACACACGCAACCAACAGTACCCTGGCTCATGGATATTAATTCCTCATGCTCTCCATCTCCACGTTCACCCTCACCCTTCTCCTCCAACCCCCGCCGATGTTCCGTCCACCTCTTCTCCGTCCAAAACCACTCATCAGGCATAATCTCCAGCCCCCACTCCCTCGCCTGCTCCTCCACATACGGCGCCACAAGCTGCATATGCATACTCCCCCCATCCCCATTCGGCTTGCCGTCCGCATCGTAACCCGTGCGAAGTAACGACTCCCTCGCAAGACGAATAGGATGCCTCACGTTCCGGACTCCCATAACCCCGGCTCCTCTTTTTATATTCTCCTGCCTTTCATCGTCGTCGCCACGAACAGAGGTAACCATAACCGAAGCTTCCATTTCAATCGTCCCCGCGGAGGTAAACACGCTTCCGCGGCCGCAGTTGAAGAGTTCATCGTCTTCCATTAGTGAGACGGCGTGGGTGGCTGCGTCTAGGGCGGCTGCGCCATTGTGCAACAGGTCTTTCGTTGAGCGAAGATAGGATAGTAATGAGGCGTGGTATTTCTCGTAGAGGTCTGGAGGTAGAGAGGAGCGGTGGATATCGCCGGCGCCGCCGTGGAGGATTAAAGTTGGTTTAAAAGTTGGTGGTGCCGATTTATTAGTCATTATGTCGAATACTAGGTCGATATTAGGGGTATGTATGTCGCTGCGAGGTTTTATTTAAAGGGGATTCGTCTTCGGATGTATGCGGCTAGAGATACTTGGGTACGAAGAGGGGCATTGGGCGTAACATGTCAGTGCACTCGGTTGTACATTTCCAGGAGGCGGAAACCTGCAGTTTTATAGTAGAAGAAGTGTCCCTGGCATAAATTACCCCTGGGGTACAGGATGTCGGTGTCGCGCGATGTGCATTCGGAGATGGATGACGTCGTCCGTGCTTATCAGGAGCTTTTCCCCTTTGGGAAATACAGCTGTCAAACTATGGAGCATAGAGGCTGAGGCGGTGGACGGTCTTTTGGACATTGATTGTTCATAATTGTGCCAACATCGAACAGAAGAACTCCTATTCTGCAGTTATATAAGCGAATACTCGGTTACAGTGTTACATGGAAACAATGTGAGATATAGTGCATCCAAATGTCGCATTATACCTGATAATCCGCAAGATAATGTACAAGAATGGAAATGCCCCAGGCGAACGAACTATTCACCCCGACGACATCTCCGAACAACTGCTTTTGATCTCCCAGCAACACAACACAATCATAATGCAAAATCTGTGAAATCCATAAACCGCCGTCAAAATAGTGAGTAGTTATAACATAAATGGAAGCCGAAGACAGAAAGGAAAACTCTATGCCACGCTCCCTGTAAAAAAGCAGCAAACAGCAATGACCGGGACCCAACACCAGTGAAGAGAGAAGAGATGAGAGTGTATCAAGGTATCAATCGAAGATTGCGAGACGAGAGGATCATCGCTTCGGATCGATATATTAGGGAGGAGTTTAGATGACAGCCTTTCCTTCGGCCGGAGGCGGAGGGGGGAGCTAAATCGGTAGAAGTCAGTCAAGCCGTTCAAGAGCACGCCTGTTTTAGCGCTTCATTAGCAACCGGGTCTCACCTCGAGTTTTGTGTTGTCCGCCATAAGTCTCTGGAAACCAATACCAACACCCTCGATAACACCCAGGAAAACAGCACACATGATAGCCGAGTTCCTAGCAGCCTTGTAACCACCACGGATAGCCAAAGAACCACCAGTGAAGAAACCAGCGATAACTGTTCAAACCAGTAGTCAGTCAAACGAACGATTTCCTTTTCTCCGAACATCCGACACCAGCCACTATCCGTCTGCAAAGGAGGGAAAACGCACTTGCATTATAGGCGTCCTCTTTTCGCCGGATTCCCTTGATCGCACAGTCGTATGTCGAGAACATACCACCCCAGACACCAAAGTTACCACCGAGAACGGGAGCTCGTGCCTTGATGGCTGTGATTGCGCCTATCCGTCGCTCTCCGTAAGGGCTGTTTCTGAACCCCTTAACACCGTGCCAGACCGCGCCACCAATTGCCTAAACGAGACAAAGTATCAGTATCCGGGTGTGCAATGGGGCATGCTTCATGAATCCGGGTAAAGACATACACCCATACAGAAAGCACCACCAAAGTCGCTCAGGGCAACCCAGGGGCAGGGATCTCTCGAGTGATCCATAGCGAAGTATTGAAAGTCGTAATAAAAAGGTAGAGAAGCGGATCGGGGGGTAGGTCGCTAATTCGACGTAGCCGTGAAGCCGGTGGTTCAAAGAAATGTGCGGTTTCGGAACAGCGAAAATGTCGGGCGGAACACGGGAAGCGAGGTTCGTACGTCCCGGTGGTGGAATGGACAAGTCGAGAGTCTTCCTAGATTGTTGCGAGGCCGGCAAGACAATGTTTTGGACAGGCGACGAGGCCGAAGGTGGGCACGATGGAGTTTGCGGATCGCAACAACTTTTTCTCTTCCGGCGGGAAAAACGTGACCTCGGCCGGGGTATATCATGTGACCCATACTGACTAAACATTAACAACCAATCATAACAATCATAGCACTTCGTCACTTTTCTGCAAGCGTTACTGCTATTTACAGTCTATGGTCATGATGGTAGGTTCCAAATAAAATCCAATGCACCTCCTTCAAGCGCCGGTATCTGCCCACCACTACTAATGCCAAACGGAGCCATCGACGGGTCGAACGGCAACGAAAGCCAATCATCCGCAGCCATATCATTCAACGATGGAATGAAGCTGATATCCGACATGCCCTGTGAGATTGGCGTACTGTTTACCATTGTCGCGTTGTGGCGACTAGCCCCGTTATCGGGCCGTGAAGGTGGGCCCGTGGCAGATGCTGTGGTAGTGCCGCGGCTGTTCTTCATGCCCTTTGATGATACCAGCAGATTGCGTCGCAAGCGCGAGACATGCAAGTCCAGGAGTGTAGCATAGCGGCTACTCAGATGGATATCATCCAGGGTGTTTGATTTCAGCGCCTGGATGGTTTTCTCGAGGATATCGAGTGATTCCCGGAGTTTTGCTTGGCGCGCGCCCAAACTTAGGGCCTTCATCAAGAAAATAGACGAGCTTGTTATGCGCAGGAATGTTCGGACCGGAGAGAACCGCAATGCTCCAGTTTCTGCGAGCTGACTGACCTTTTGTAGGATCTGGCAGCAGCCGTCGATGACTTCTTGGATATATTCGTAATCGATGGAGTCGATATTCAGAGGGCGCACCTCTTCCAAGTTAGGTTCTCCGTCTGCGAGGACCCGTTCTACCACGGCTTGCATTCCGACTGAGTGGGTGTAGACGCGGACAAAGTGGTATTCGATGAAAAGGATATTGAAAAATGGCTTATCCAGTACTGTACCACGGTAGTCAGCTCACATTCCACGGAATATAGAATCAACAAGTACTCACATTGAGGCAGAAGATATTTTACTTTCCACTGAGTGAGCAGCGGCCGAAAATGATCCAACAGATCAATATACCGACCACTGTGTAATTGCTGCCTCGCAAACGAAACAGAAGGGAAGAAAGTATCAGTCACCGATTTAGCCAACTTGGTCAAGTCCATCCACGAATCCATGAACGTGAACCATCCATCCCCAGACCGGCTGAGCTCCCTTGTAGCCTGCCCACCTATGATCGCATGATTCAGGCTCTGCGGCATGAGCGATATACACCCTATTCTCCACGCCAATTGGTTAATATATACGTATAGCAAGCGCTGTACGCGCTGTCTGCGGAACTTCATCTGGTCACTGGGCATGAGCCCTTTCGGCTCCGATGGAGGATCCGGTTCCTTATCCCCAACTTCAAAAATGCCAAGTTCATGCGCAAGCGACAATGCAGATCCAAGCAGCATCCAAGACATCTGGTCTGACCTTCTAGCCGGCTCAATCATATCTTCTAGCCACCTGTCAGCAGACAGCGTATCTTCCTCATCAGCGTTTGCGCGAGACTCGGTGATTCCTGTCATCAAGTCACAATCCCAACCGTCAACTTCCGGAGGGAAATGCAGTGAACGGGGATGCCATTCGGACATCAATAGAAGAGCCTCGATGGTTCCAATGCCGCGGATTTTTGACGAAGTAGATTTATCCTGGCCAAATATGAGGCGTGTGATTAGTTGCTGGCAATGCTGCCAGAGTCGGTGGTGGATAAAGAAATTTCTTGATTCGCCGCCTGCTCCTGGTAATACGTGATAGCGAGCAGATACCATTAGGATTGTGCAGCATAAGACTGGATCGCGCGTAAGGAGACAATAGTGATTTGCATGATTTGCGTAGAAGTCTGTGAGTATGGGGGATAACGGAGACATGTTTTTGAAGAACCTGTCGCCATTCAGTCAGCTGTATCCCAACAATGTCTAATGAAAATGAGGCATACAGATCGATAAATGTCACTGCTTCTCTGGAGGTAAACCACCCCATTTTGACAAAACGACATGACTCCCACACATCAAGAACCTCTTTTGACACCCGAGAGATTTCCACGGGGTACACCGTTCTCGTTGAACCCTCAAAAGGGCCCGAGTAACCGCCTGCTAATGAGTCTTCGTCCCTGGTGGTTCTGCTCTCAGACGATATGGCATTTCCCGGTTGAGAGTCTGTGGTCATGCCATTCCCACGACTATGAGCCGCAGCAGCCTCGAACAGGATATTGAGTGCATCGTTCCCGCTGGCGACAACGGTGCGCATCATCGAATTTCCAAGGCTGGAGGTAGGTTGCTGTCTATCTTGATTGCTCTCGTTGATATTTCCGGTGTTCTCTGTAAATGCAGTTTCATCATTCCCCGGACTAGGTCCATACTCCGACATATCACGCGAATCATGTCTCTCACTGGTACCATTCGACCACCTCCTTCTCGTCGTCGGTGAAGGCGTATCCACACCATCCTCCGCATCTAAGTAAATAAAACCCACATCAGTACAAATATAGCACGATCAAACCAGACGCAGCTAACAACCCACATCTCTTCTTCCCCCTCTCCCAAGCCCTCTTCTCACTAAACAAACACTCCTTCTGCTCCCTCCGACATCTCGTACACGGAGGCCCGATCGTCGCACCATCTTCTCCTGTCCCCAGCTCGCATTTAGCCTTGCGTTGCCGACAGGAGATACAAGCTTTGTAGGTGCGCTGGTACACCCGGTCCACGGTGTGTTGTCCACGGGATGGCCTTCTGATCTCCATGTCGGTTAGTCACGGATTGGCCAATAGCATTGAGAGGATTGTTATCTGGTTCGTCTGGGGCGATATGAGGTCACGTAGCGTTCCAGTCTGGAAGACGAGGGATGGTGGAATGGTGTCAAAATATCCGGGAGGAGGTGCGGGGCGGATGTTGCGAAATAGCCGCTGATTGCCGGCGGCGGGTGTTTGGAACATCCGGTGGAGGGTAGCCCTAACATCCAGGTCCAATTGGCGATCATGGTTTAAAATTAATGCAAATAGTTAATATCTATCGATGCGATTGACATGTGAATATTCTAGTTTTTTAAGTCTCCATCTACTTTGTATTATTTCGTAGGCATAGTCACTAACTGGCTTTGATATATATTATGTGCATTCATGTATATTTACACTCCTATTAAAAGTCGCAGTTTTCTTCATTGAAAACGGATAATAATACTCTGTAGTTCTAGAATAGTTTCAAAAATAGTTAACTAGTTAGTTAGCAACGAAAGATGACAAATCATAATCCAGAAAACGGAAACAAGCGGAAATCTGTCCATGCAGACTTGGGTATCCCAGCAGCGGAAGTGTTCCGCTGCTGGGATACCCGAGCAGAAAGCAACCGTCACTCCGAAATACAACGATCAACTGTATACATTGACCAGTAAAGAATGATGGATCATTCTAGGAATGTACCCCTTTATAGCCGGTAAGGAAATTGCACGCCTATTGCCGGGTCACGTTACGGTATTTGCGTTCGCTCTCCGCTTTTATACTTCAAGCCCTGTGATGTTCTTTGGCCCCGGTCGTGGGGTGGGCACTCAGGTGCGTGCACTGAGTGCTCAGTGTGTCATCACTGGAGTAGTCCTAAATAAAACACGCAGAGCCAAGTGCTATTGCTGTTCATAAAGACAAGTCCTATCTTACCATACCCGCTTAAGTGACACTTTACTTTGCACCTGTACCCTGTGCATTGATCCATCTCTTCGCAGCCTTTCTGGGTCCGTACGGGTCAATGGGGAAGTGCCTCGCGTTTGGAGGGTAGAGGGCGTTGGCACCGAAGAAGATCAAGATTTCGATGTTCAATCCAGAGCTTCTGCATCGGTCGTCCTCGTGCCATCTTGTATATTTATGTGGAACTAGCAGCCGTCTTATAGTCAGCTGCTATATGATATAGCAACTAACATGCTTGAATTACGCTTTCTCTCGCGTTGATATTTCAGTAAAAGGCGGGCATCGGGGGCCGAGTCAGATCTGATTCGGCCCGTTATCTCTCCGCCCCCGATTATCTGACACGGTCCCCAGATATCTAACAGTCCTGACTGCCTTCTGATAAACTCGTCGCTTGGATTTAGATGTTATTAAATTGTCTCTCGCCTTAATTTTCCTATAGTTTACAATAGCCATGGCGTCTTTCGACTCTGTCAGCGATAACTTGCCTCTAGACCCATCCAGCTATCCCAAACTGTCAACAGAGCAAGCAGGTCATCTCCGACACTTTCACAATTTAAGCGCCGCCATAGATGGAGACTGGCCACACATGGGGGCCCAGGAGCCCGCACAGGAGTTCCTCGACGCTTACCGGTATCAACTGGCGACGATGGCCTATGCAGCTGCCCTTACACACTACCATCGACTACCAGCTATGAGAGGCCTGTTCAAGCAGCTCTTTTGCCGCTTGATTCACAAAATGCTAAGACGCGAAGTGTGGGGTTATTGGTATCTCACATCTCAGTCAGGGATTCGGGTAGATCCTGATCTGAAAGAACTTCGCAAGCCGTGGGCCGACCCAGTTGTCCGCGAGAATATCATGTACAGTGGACATTTGCTCCTGATGACCAGTCTCTATGCTATGTTGTTTGATGATGATGAGTTTGAGCAGGCTGGGAGTCTGAGTTTTCACTGGAACCCGCTGTTCTGGGGAATGGGGGATGAGACTTTCGTCTATGATAATAGGAGCTTGCAGGATGCGATTATTGCTGAAATGGAGAGGAATGATTGGGTTGGTGTTTGTTGTGAGCCGAATCTGGTTTTCGTGGCTTGCAATCAGTTTCCGGTACGTATATCATGGCTCATTGGGTGATGATGGATTACTTACGCACCTAGATCATCGCTATCCGGTTGAACGATGTCCGCAATGGGACCAATGTACTGGACGGAGTACTTGGGAAATACAAGGCTGCGTTGGAGAAGAAGAATATGATTTCACGCAATGACTTGTACAAGGATTGGGTGAGTGTTAAGCAGGGATACACGGCAACAGCCAAGAGCGTCGGCTTTACCGCATGGTAAGCCTTGATATCCCTTGGATTTATATTTGCGCTCATATTGACGCCAAAGAGGGCTGCGGCGTTTATGAACACTTGGAACTCGGAATTCGTTCGATCAGGATTCAACAATCACGCACTTGGGTTCATCACCGACTTTGATGGCGAAGTCGAACTCCAGCATCCTATGGTAGCAAGCGCATATCGAGCAATTGTCGCACAACGGCAGGATGCGCCAAATCCACAACAAACTCTTCAGAAGGCTCGGGAATATTACAGGGCGAACAAGGACAGCATTAAATTCCCATACAAGGAGCCGACCCTGGGCTATGTTGTCAAGTGGCTGTCAGAGCTTGGTAAAACCGTTGAACTACATGGCCTTCTAGAATCCATCGACAAAAATCTACAGCCGACGTGGGAAAACGGAGGTCTTTACTACCCCAGAAATGACCAGCAAACCGACCTCGAAGGACGGTGGATGCATATGGATCCTTTCACGGGTAACGCAGCTATTGGGTATGCCAGATTAAACGTGGAGAATGGACAAAAGAAGATATGGGACTCTCCATGGACAAAGGAGGATCTGGCCAGTCGTCCGTGGGTGGATGGAATAGACTATTCTCAAGGAGTTAACTGCTTAAGAGGTGTTTGGGATGGCACAGCTAGTGCCATGATTATCACCCTTGAGGAATGGGCTGCCAAAGGTATGAAGGTGGCTTTTGATGTCAAGAACTTGCCCGAGGATCGCTGGGTTGTTTATGAAAGACACGGACTGGTTCTGAGTCGCCGGCTTGTTGAAGGGGTGAGTGTTCATGTGGAAGCGGATATTGGGCCAGGGGAAGAGGTAGACTTTGTGATTGTCAAAGAAGCTTCTTCTTGTAGGTCGGGATTGTAGGGTCGGTTGGCTTATCGAGAGAAGAATGTCAACTGGAATCAACCCATACTCAAAATGCCTCAGCAATATCAACGATAATATCCTCGTACATATGAGTTTGAATTGATTCCCACACTGCTGAGTGAGCTTTAGAGTACTCAATAAACGCCCAGTGCGTGGTCAATACTGCTAAGTGAGTATTCCAAAGCCACCCGGAAATAGTCCCGCGCTACCGCATTGGGAAGTCAGACAAATACATTACAGTAATAGACCACTATATTTACACAGTACTATATCCACACAGGAGCATCTAAAACCAAGCTACCGTCCTCCACAAGAAACAAGAGCCAACTCTACACAGCCAAAACTATACAACCAAACCGAAATGACCGACATAACCAACATAACCCTCTACACCTACTTCCGTTCCTCCTGCTCAGCGCGCCTCCGCATCGCCCTACACCTCAAATCCCTCCCCTACACCTCCATTCCCATTAACCTCCTAAAAGATGAGCAGCGCGCTCCCACCTACGGCACGCTAAACCCCTCACTCACCGTCCCATCACTCATCATCGAGCACGGCACCAAACAAACCACCACGATAACCCAATCCCTCGCCGCCCTCGAATACCTCGACGAAATCACCTCCTCCCCTAAAACACCCTCTCTCCTCCCCCCGCCCTCCGACCCCGAAACAAGGGCAACAGTCCGCACCCTCGCATCCATAATCGCCTGCGACGTACAACCCGTCACCAACCTGCGTATCCTAAAGCGTGTCGGACCACTAGGTATGGACCGGGCTGCGTGGTCGAAGGATCTTATTATCGAGGGGTTCAGGGCGTATGAGGCGATTGTTGAGAAGACGGCTGGGAGGTTTAGTGTGGGGGATTGTGTTACGATGGCGGATGTTTGTTTGGTGCCGGCTGTTTGGGGGGCGGAGAGGGTTGGGGTTGATATGGGGGAGTATCCGGTTATTAGGGGGGTGGCGGAGAGGTTGGAGGGGGAGGAGTGTGTTAGGAGGGGGCATTGGAGGGGGCAGGAGGATACGCCGGGGGAGTTTAGGGTGCAGTAGATAGTGTAAATAGGGACTATCTTGTTGTCTTTTAATAGCTTGGATTCTATGCGAATATTCAGATTCAGATTCATAGTCATGTCATGCTCTTCTTTTTTTCATACAGCAAAACAATTTTAGAATGAGAAACGGAGAAAAAGCTATCTAAAACTCGAGCTTCAACGCAGGAAGGATCGTAGCCTCGCAGTCACCAAAGCCCACATAGCTTCCCTCCTCACCAGCCGAACCGCGCAGAACAACACGATCACCATCCTCCAAGAAAATACGCTCCGAACCATCAGACAACTTAATTGGGCTCTTTCCATTTGTCTGCTCCAGAATACTCCCCTGCGTCTGCGGTTCCTTTCCAGAGATAGTACCACTACCAAGGAGATCACCTGTGTTCATGTTGCATCCCGTAATGGTGTGGTGTGTAAGCATCTGAGGGAACGAGTACAGAAGGTTCTGCGCGTTGCTCTTCGAGATAACCGTCGACTTGCTACCTTCGGGTGTGATCTCGACTTCGAGGGGAATGTTAAAGGCGTTGACGGCACGTTTCTCACGGAGGTAAGGCAACAGAGCCTCACGGTCACCTGGCTCGAGACCCGGCGCACGGAAGGGTTCCAATGCGTCGATAAGAACAACCCAGGGGGTGATCGTGGTGGCAAAGTTCTTCGCGTTGAAGGGTCCCAGGGGAACGTATTCCCAGGCCTGGATGTCACGGGCAGACCAGTCGTTCATCAATACCAAACCGAAGATATGGTCTTCAGCTTCGTTGATGGGGACCGGCTTGCCCAAGCCATTGGGAGTGCTAACGAACGCAGCCAACTCCAGTTCGATATCCAGCTTCTTGCACGGGGAGAAGGTAGGAATCTTAGGATTGGCGGCAGGGTTGGTCAGGATCTGGCCGTTGGGACGGTGGATCGGTGTGCCCGAAACAATCACAGACGATGCGCGACTGTGGTATGCGACAGGAAGATGCGTGTAGTTGGGCTGCAGAGCATTTTCCGGGCCACGGAACAGCACACCAACATTGTAAGCGTGGTTGAGACCAGCGTAGAAGTCCGTGTAGTCACCGATTTGCAGAGGGACGTGGTTGGTCACTTCGGACAGAGGCAAGAGTGCCTCCTTTTGCAGGGCAGCGTTGTCTTTGAGGACCTGAGGATATGGTGTGTCGGCACGAAAGACGGCTTGAAGGTATTCACGGACCTGGCGATGTACCGGACGACCAAGAGCGGCGAAGGCGTTCAATGTCGGCTCATTGAAGACGCCGAGATGAGGCTGGATCACGGGAAGCTGCGAGAAGCCAGAGGACGAGGCAAAGGCACTCAGGTTCAACGCATATTCACCAATTGCGATCGCGGGCACACGAGGAGATGCCTTGGTCGAGGAAATGATACCAAAGGGGATATTGGCCAGCGAAAAGGGCGAGTTCTTGGGGATCTGAAGCCACGAAGCCATTGTTTCGATATAGATAAGTTGAAGCTTGACAGAAAGAATATCTATGAGGATAACTCAAGAACTTGGAGAGCGACAAGAAGACCGATTAAAAAGACACTGCCCCTCCCTAATACTAGTCTCTGCGCTTCTCGTCATCTCCTCTAACCGTGTCGCCTTCACTTTGCGCCGTCGTCAATTTTCCGTTGTCCAGTGACTGCGGAATCAAGTCCGCCCCCTCTCCCCGCTTATTGCCGGCTATATTCCGCGGCTTCCCCGCAACCTGCTTTACGCGGATGAAAATTCCCGTCGCGGCGGATGAAGTCGCAATAGTGTATGGAAGGGAGAGGATGATGAATATATTTCACAGAGAGCCCAGTTGAGCTTGTTCTTCCTGGAGGTTGACTATTCAAAATTATCCACGAGAACGAACATCACCAAAACGATACCGAACACAATGCCGGTTACACAGTTCAAACACCCAGATCCATACAAATACCAGAATGGCTTCGACTCCTATCATGAGTATGCGATAAAACTACAGAAAGGAGGCATGTTACATGGCTAACAGTACCTTAATAGAACCGAAGCCATCGAAGGCGCCCTCCCAATAGGACACAACTCTCCCCAAAAAGTGCCATATGGTCTCTACGCCGAGAAGCTCTCCGGAACAGCCTTTACCGCTCCCCGACACGAGAACAAACAAACCTGGGTCTACAGAATCATCCCTGCCGCATCCCACGAGAACTTCAACGCCGAGGAATTAGACACATACCACACGCACATGACAACCGAAACCCACAAGCTGCACCACATTCCCAATCAGCTGCGGTGGAATCCGTTTGATCTGGACGAGAAGGTTGACTGGGTTCATGGTTTGCATCTTGTGGCGGGTGCAGGAGATCCCACGCTGAAACAAGGTCTTGGGATTCTGCTGTATGCTGCTGGGAAGGATATGGGTAAGGAGGCGTTTTACTCGGCCGATGGAGACTTCTTGATTGTTCCCCAGCATGGTGTGTTGGATATTCAAACAGAGCTGGGAAGATTGGTGGTCCGTCCTAATGAGGTCTGCGTGATTCCTCGTGGTGTGAGATATCGTGTAACTTTTCCCGATGGTCCAGTGAGAGGATACATTTGCGAGCTCTACCAGGGTCACTACCAACTTCCCGAGCTGGGTCCAATTGGCTCCAACTGTCTCGCCAACGCACGAGACTTCCAGGCTCCTGTGGCTTCCTTTGAAGACGATGAGTCGGAGTTCCGTCTGTACAGCAAATTCGCAAACACCCTCTTCTCCACCCGCCAAGACCACTCTCCGTTTGACATTGTCGCTTGGCACGGCAACTATTACCCGTACAAGTACGACTTGGGACGATTCAACACCATTGGTTCCGTTTCGTTTGACCACCCGGATCCCTCGATCTACACCGTTCTCACTGGTCCGTCGGACCACGTTGGCACAGCGATCGCAGACTTTGTGATCTTCCCTCCCCGTTGGCTCGTGCAAGAGGACACCTTCCGTCCCCCATGGTACCACCGTAATACCATGTCTGAATTCATGGGGCTGATCGCTGGAAACTACGACGCAAAGACTGGCGGAGGCTTCCAACCGGCTGGAGCCAGTTTGCACAATGTCATGAGCGCTCACGGACCGGATATGAGTGCCTTTGAAGGGGCGAGTAATGCAGAGCTGAAGCCTCAGAAGATCGGAGAGGGAAGTATGGCTTTCATGTTTGAGAGGTGAGTTCCGTATTCGAGTCCCGCTATTGAAGTTCTCTGCTAACGTATTCATGTAGCTCGCTCATGGTTGGCGTGTCGGAATGGGGCCTGAAGACCTGCGAAAAGGTACAAGAAGAGTACAACGACCACAGCTGGCGTCCACTCAAGAGACATTTCAAGGATCCTCGCAAGGCATGAGCGGGTGTACTTAATAGCAATGTTTTGATGTAGCAGTAGCAATGTTTTAGTAAAGAATCGTTGAAGCAATGACATTTCCATGAGAACGATGACTAAATACAACCGCCAGAATCCAGTAACATGCTTATATGCTGATAACTACAAAAATACACCATCAATTCATCGCAGCCTCCTTCCTCATCGCCTCCTTCACAATAGCCCCACACATCTTCGCATATGGATTCGTCTGCACCGCCATCTGCTGCGCAATCTTATTCCCATACCTCCCTCCAAAGAAAAAGTCTCTACTCGCCATCTCCTCTAGCTGATCAGATCCAAACTCCCACAGTTGCCCCGATCCTTGAACCTTGGAATCCCTTCTCGCCCTCGCGGCTTTGAGCAGCAGATACCCGCGATGTGTATGCGCATCTGCCAAGATACGCGCTTGGACGGGGGAGACGGGGTCTGCTGGTGATGAGGGCGTGGAGAGATTGATTGCCTGGCCGAGGTCCGCGAAGAGACGCGAGACAGTGGATGTATTCGCTGGATCCGTAAACATCGCATCGCTGTCTCGTATATCCGGCTTCTCACTCGGACTAGATTGCTTATCAACAAGCATCCGAAGCGCCTGCGCCCTATTAGCGTAGGCAGGCGGGTAAGTCGGATGATCCCCGATAAGGGCGTCTAGGGCTTCAATGGCGGAGTGCATGGTTTCCTGTGAGACATTGTCGGTTTGGATGGATTTGATTATGGATGTTTCGCGGGTGCTGAGGGATTCGTGGTCTTCTGGAGTGATTTGTAGGGTTGCAGGGAATGGGGGGAGGGTTGAGTCGATCTGTATTGCTGAGGATGGGGAGGATTCGGCGTCAAAGAGGGCGTGGAGGACGGCGGAGTCGTTGGTTGTTAGGGGTGGCATTTTCACGTTCATATGTTTTTATAGCAGGTACACAAGAGAAGTTTTGTTTATGGGAATTCGCAGGTATAATAAAGGAAATAGGATATATATCATCTGTTTTTGTCGTCATCGCATCTAACCGCACCGGATATCACAAACACCCGTTAGTTGCCGCTCTACACCGTAAAATACCCGCTAACAACCGCCACCATCCTTTGTTTGCCGTGGCTTGTCCCGGTTGCTTCTATGGTTTCCAAACCAGTCGCGGCTACTTCATAGAAAGGAAATCAAAGACAGGATGATAACCGTGTCAACCATGGTTTATAAATACCACCTCATCTACTGGTCATCCCCAGAGTCATCCCCAGAATCATCCCCAGCATCATCCAAACGGCCCTGAACTATCAAACACACCTTGCTTATCAGTCCAAATCAAGTTCCAAATCTCTGAATACAACAAAATGGCACCATCAGCCCTCCCAGACCCAACCCCAACAAGTGCCACCTCCCCCCTCGCCTCCTACAAAGCCTACGACCACGTCCACTGGTACGTCGGCAACGCCAAACAAGCCGTCTCCTACTACACCACCCGCATGGGCTTCCAACACATCGCCTACCGCGGCCTCGAAACTGGCTCCCGAGCAACCTGCTCGCACGTCATCCGCAATGGCTCTATAACCTTCATCTTAACCTCGCCTCTCCGCTCGCTCGACAAACTCGAGCGCTTCACGGCCGAAGAACAGGACCAGCTCCGCGAGATTCACGCACATCTTGAGAAACACGGGGATGCGGTGAAGGACGTTGCGTTTGAGGTTGATGATGTGGAGAGTGTTTTTGGGGCTGCGGTGAAGAATGGGGCGGGGGTTGTGGCTGGGATTAAGGAGTTGAGGGATGAGGGGGGTACGGTGAAGGTTGCGAGGGTGAAGACGTATGGGGAGACTACGCATACGTTGCTTGAGAGGGGGAAGTATAAGGGGGCGTTTTTGCCGGGGTATCGGTTGGAGAAGGGGGTGGAGGATCCGGTTGAGAGGTTGTTGCCCGGGGTGTTTTTGAAGAGGATTGATCATTGTGTGGGGAATCAGGATTGGGATGAGATGGAGGAGGTTTGTGAATAGTAAGCCATCCTGTCTGTCTAATTGGGATACTGGCTAACATGATCCAGTTACGAAAAAGCCCTTGGCTTCCACCGTTTCTGGTCCGTCGATGACAGCCAAGTTTGCACGTGCGTATACACCTCTCTACAGCATGAGAACTATGCTAATGAATATAGTGAATTCTCTGCCCTCAAAAGCATCGTCATGGCCTCCCCCAACGAAATCGTCAAAATGCCCATCAACGAACCCGCCAAAGGCAAGAAAAGGTCCCAAATCGAAGAATACGTCGACTACTACAACGGCGCCGGCGTGCAGCACATCGCCCTCCTAACAGACGATATCATCCGCGACATCACGAACCTCAAGGCGCGGGGGGTCGAGTTTATCAAGGTCCCTGATACATACTACGAGGATGTGCAGGTGCGGCTCAAGAAGGCTGGACTTGTTCTGGAGGAGGATTTCCAGACGATTCGCGATTTGGATATTTTGATTGATTTTGATGAGGGTGGGTATTTGTTGCAGTTGTTTACGAAGGTGAGACCGCCAATCCGATACTGGACGATAGATATGCTAACAGTATGTAGCATCTTATGGACCGCCCAACTGTCTTCATTGAGATCATTCAGCGACACAACTTTTCTGGTTTCGGAGCTGGTAATTTCAGGTCGTTGTTTGAGGCGCTTGAGCGGGAGCAGGAGCTGCGTGGGAACCTTGTGTAGTTTTCTAGTTTGCTTGTATGAAACGTATATGAAGTTATGATTCGCGTGTACATGGCTATTTCAATTCAAACATCTTTCGATAACTTGCTCTGGCTAGCACACTGGCGTATTGCTTGCACTACGTATTGTGTCTCAGAGAATAAACCTTTCACTTAAATCAAACCATTCAGAAAGACAAATCGCTTGTATAATGGTTAAAAAATCATCGATAGTCAGTCAATCTTGAGCATAGTATTTTTAGTCGAAAACGTAGCTGAACCTGTGGCAAGGTGGCCGAGTGGTTAAGGCGGCAGACTTAAGTCAGAGACAAATCTGAGGTTTCTGCTGATCGTAAGATCTCGTGGGTTCGAACCCCACCCTTGTCATTTTTTATTTATCCCACACATGCGGTAAATAATTAATTCGCACCGTACTATGGCTACTCATGTTCTGTGTGGGTTGGTGCGATTTTAAACTTGGGAAGATGTTTTTTATCTTTATGAGCATATGGGCTACCTAAGCGTGTATGCGTTTAGTGAAAATTGGGCGTGTAGCTCAGATGGGAGAGCGTCCCAAGTAGGTTGGTGATGGTCCGAGGTTCGAGTCCTCGCATGTCCGACTTTTTATTGGTGCCTTTTTTTTTTTTTTTGTTGGCTCCACCTGCACGTTACCGAATTTGGTTGTTCTGATACTATGCTGTTTACTATTTATTTTCCTTTCTTTTTGATCGCTGAATTAAAGGTCAAGGAGGATGTTTTTATGCTTGCCCAAGGCTTCTACATAGTTGAACAGAACAGGATCGAGGAACTATTTCGCTCGTAATTATGCTAGATAGATACAGGTGTGCTACGATTCATATACTTCGTCCACTTCTTAAGGATATCCTTCACACAACCATCATCACTGTACAATCACTACTTCTTCTTCGACGCATTCGCCGTCGTACCCCCGCGACGCTTAAACTTCCGTGGATCTATACAGGTCAGTTAGCCAACACCCTATAACCAACGAATCCAAAAATAGCAAGGCTATACACACCCTTCCGACTCATCAACGCCCGATTCCGAGTCCCCTTTCCACCCTCCCAGAATCCACTTCCTGCTTTTCCAATGAGGATGGCGTGGCAGATTCCGCAGTTCTCAGGGCGGTAGATTTGTTCACGGGAGCAGAAGCCGCTTGTTCTGTTAGTTCTGTTTGGTTCCTTTGGTGATTGGGGAGGGAAGGGGGGGGCGGGTGGCTTACCAGAGCATGCGGTTTGCGTGTTCGTTGGGGTGGTCTGTTTCTGCGTCGTGGCATCTGGGCCTGTCAGTATAGTATTTTTGAGAGATAGGTAGAGGTTGTGGGGTGGTACGTACTTGTCGCAAGGGAAGACCTTTGCGCAGCAACTGAATCTGTTTATTATAAGCACATGCACGCATAGCAAGCGACGATTTGGCGGTTGGGCACTCACCTGAACCAACGATAACTCTTCGCATAATGTGTACAACGACCACGTCGGGGCAGTTCCTGACCAGCAACAATACCAAGGACCTCCTTGGGCTATGGAGTTGTCAGCCTCCTTCCTCATGTAGGACTGTATGCAAAGTACGAACCTTTCGTCGCGGAGCACGATCGCGAGAAGTAACTGGAACTATCAGCATTCATTTGTTTCTGGAGTATGACATCCGAACTTACCTGCGGCAGATGCTATTCTAAGGAATTTCACCTCGGGAATCTTCATCACTATTCGATTGTTAGAGGATAATGTGCACGAATGTAAGTTTAACAATGCGTACCCATTTTCCGATGGCATTCACGACACATAGCCGTTGAGCTCTCACCACGGACAGAGGCAATACCTGGTGCAGGGAAAGTCGTAGAGCATTCCGCACAGGTTGGGACAAAGTTGCTGTAGGAGATTTTCAATCAGCTGAGGCGTTACAAGGAGTCAAAGGAGGGCTCCTACCTGGTAAGTAGATCAACCACGGTACATCCATCCAGGTCCAGGTATCCCGCACGGTTTGAATTAGGGTGCATTAGTTGTCGTCGGAAGCCTGAATAGTGTGCCAGTCAGTATATTTCCATGTCAACAATGTTTGGGTTAACCAAAATCAACTCACCAATACTCATCGCATTGGCACACTTCTTGCATGTTTCAGCCTTAGGAGTGTATGCATCGCTGTTATCCTTCGCTTGAGGAATATTCTTTACATCAAGCGTTTCCTTGCACCGCTCGCATCGTATCGTAATGTATAAACCCATGAGTTCCAAAAGTTCGATTCCATAGAGCTCCAAAAATGGGAATGACAGTGCAACACCACGCTCCGCCGTGCTAAGCTCCGAAATCGCGACGGGGGCTCCTCCGTCTTCCTCATCCTCCGTATACTCTTCGGAATCAGTAAAATCACTAGAGCCTTCCTCGCCATCGCCGTCGTTTCTAGGAATCGACCATTCCGGGGGTCGTGGGATAACATGGACGTGAGGTTTGTCTTCTAATCCAGCCGTAGGCTCCGTTTCTGAAGTCTGCGGTTGCTGGGGCAGTTCGACTTGTGCAGGCTTCTCGACCAGCACTGGAGCAGGTTTCGTTTCGAGCGGTGTCTTTGCAAGGTTGTGCATGTTGCTGGTCAAGTAGTTGACTTGCGACATCAAATTGAGCTGGCTGTTCTTCCCAACCCATTGCGCGAAACCGACTTCAACAGATTGAGCTTCAGGGCCGTCGACACCTAGTAATTTGACCGTACTAGACTCCAAGGGGTACGACTGCGGCACTCCAAGTTTCAACGTCTTGATGGAACGGAGCGAAGCCGGCAGTCGATCTGCCTTGGTCGGTTGAATGGGCACGGTGAAAGAAAGTCCATCTCCAGATTTGTGGAACAGTGGCAGTCTACCAAGACGAGCATCCAGCTGTTTTGTCTCGGTTGCTCGTCTCTTCTCGGCCTGCGCTTTCTCCTCTCCAGTAAATACACGCGGCGGTGCAGCCACTGGCTGCGGTCTTGGCGCAGAACGAACTTGTCCAGAGACGTTGGCAACCTTCTGTTGTCCTTGCACTGGTTGTTGAACCTCTGGCGCCTCTCTGCTGCCAACGTTTGCAACAAATTTTATTGTGGGTCCTCTTTCTATTGTTGTGAGTAGACGCTCCAGTTGACGGTCAAGACTGTTCATCCACCCCAACAACGTTCCCCGATTATTCATCCGTATCGACGTATCGACGATGTCGTCAAAACCTCTTGCCACATTATCCTGGAAGACTTCATCCATATCGGTATTGGTCACCTTAAGCTTCGGTCTTCCCTGTGCGGGATACGATTGCGGAACGTATAGGGTACATTGCAGCTTGTCCATCTCAAACGGGAAATCAGGGTCTGAAGGGGCCAGTTCCAGCTCCAATGTTGTTCCGGAGCCATCATTGGTCTCCTTTGGACGGAAACGACGACGTAATTGGTTGATCTGGAACTCTCGTGGATTTTGGCTCTCAGCTGTGGAGACTGGTCTTTGAGCAGGTGCGGGATTCGAAATGACTGGCGGCTTGGAGATTGGTCGTGGCCTATTCATGGACAGGTTTCCTAGATCGATGGCTACACCCTGTACAGGGTCTTCTCTCTGGGATGCGCCATTGGCTTGGTCGACGTCGTTATCTGGCGGTGAACGGGTTTGCTCGAGCGCAGAAGTATCATGGAGATAACGACAGGCATTGCCAGACCGGCATCCTTGATGAATATCAGCAACGAAACATGGAAATCAAAGCAAATGGCGGTCCGGAAGAATGACGATATCATGCGGAAATCTTTAAAACCAGGCAATCAGAAGGAGCAAATAGCAAAACGAGTAGTCCTGCATGTCGTTTTCTGGATTGGCCCAGCCCTGATACAGCCATGTAAAAAACCAGACCGTGTATGCAAGATACCGTAATCAATGACCAGGATCATGCAAACGGGGAATTACATAAAGTCAAAACAGCGGTGCGGCAAAACATCGCAAACGGATCGTACCTACCTTTCCGGGAAGTAAAGAAGCGGCACTTCTGCTTTTTCGCGGGTGCTTGCTGAGCATTAGGCGCTGCAGTAGCCGGAGGCTGAGCGGCTGCCAACTCAGCACCCACCTTCGGAGGCTGTTGACCTGCGCCATAAAAATATCAGCATGAGCGTGTGATCAAGGTTGCGGGCCGGGTTGTCAAGTTTAGAAAGAGACACGAGCTGAGTTGCCTGAAGACAATGCGAGCACAGCGCCTGGACCACAGCAGCCACCCGAAATCTGCACAATGACGGACATCGAGCCAGCCAGACGACGAGCCATGCGTCGATCGATAAGCCCTGGGTCTGGAATACGATAGCATGGAGGGCGGACTTTTGTCATAGCTGCGCATTTGCAGCGGGAAATATGACAGATGTCGTGCAGGCAGCGTGATCTTCAAAACTGACTTCCCCGACATTGATGGTGACTTGGTGACTTACCCTCAGGCATACTTTCAATAGATATATCGTTATCAACCGACTCGTTAGCCGAACCGGGGGTCATGGATCGATTCCTGAGAAGCGGTCAGTAACCAACCAGCACAATCACGCGAAGCAAATAGGAACATATTATTTACCCGGCAAGTGCGGCGCGTAAAAAAGGGGACCTGCTGATAATATCAATTACCAACGCTGACTTGTCCGTCTGGATGGGCGACGAGCTCGGGCAGGAATAGATCCCAGTTGATCGAACTGCCAACTCAGAGATCTGGTGACCAGGTCCAATTCCCCGCGGTGTACTCCGTATGCAGGTGCTAAATGCAGGAGAATAGCGAGGGATTTTCTAATAGAGGCGCGGTATAGTGCGTTATATAGCCAGTGGCCAATATGGTTTCTATATACAAGTACGGATGTGGTCGTTGGCGGTCGGATTGCCACGTGACTAGAGTGCCAAAAAGGGAAATGACAGTTGAAGGATAGTCAACGCCACCGTGAGTCACGACGACTCAGTGTGAATCGAAGTGGAACATGATACACATATCATTCCTTAGCATTCTATGGGGTTTGTATGGGGAATTGTCTTCAATGCTCGACTTTGGTGGCGATCTGTTAATAATATGAATCATAGCGAGCATTTGCTGAATAAAACCGGGGATGTCATGTCATATGTGCCTTGTAACTATGGAGTATGCAGTGACTAGTTAGTTAATCAAACCCCGGCAAAGCAGCTCCCCTCCCTCCCTCCAGAACATTCATGGAACATAGTGTTCCGACAGGCATCCCATCCGACAAAATAAGGCTGGAACTTCTGCCCTCTCCCTCAGGCATCTAATATTCCCCGCCAAATGCCCCGCGCCGTTCACCGGGAATGCAACCTCGATCCACCGCACGAAAATATTCAGGAAGCTTTTTCTTCTTTGGGATCTTCAAGAGGTCACCGGACCTGAAGACTTTTTTTTTTTTTTTTTTTCCTACGTTTCTAGAATTACTTTACTTACCGCTATTACACGAAAATATGCAATTACGACGAAAATCATTTATTTTTTGAAGCAGGTTTTTTTTGTTCGAGTTTATGTGTTGGAAGCCAATGGGAGTTGAAGGATTCGTGGGAGGGTTCAATTGAGCTTGAGCTTGAATCCAATAGAGCGGGATACATGAGTTGGACGCTGTAGCGGAAAACTCAAAAGAACACGTGAATTCCTGCGGAATACAAAGTCGGGGAATGCTTCCTCGGCTGTTCATATTCCGGCATTCACAGGCAGATGTCAATATGACGTCCAGCAATTGTAAGTCTAATTGTAAGTCTCATCCGGTTTCTATAACAAAGCCTTAACTTCGACGAGCTGAATTATGCAAAACATAAACCCATTTACGGCCTTGTATCGAATACTCCGTACTCTGAGACTTGTACTGGATTTTGTAAGATACTCCATAGCCGCATACAGTACCGTAAATTACACAAGACTCGATACGTATTACCAGGGACGTTAATACAAGCCCTAGCTGCATCCGGAAAAGCGCATTTCTAGAATGTTTCTCGAAACGGCCTACGAGTCAGAATGTGTTCACTTCGGCCTGTGCTGTTTACTCCGGAGTATAAAAGTCGTCGTCTGTCGCGGATATGTCTGCTTATGGTCAGATGAGTGAGTTGGTCGGTAGGTATTCTGTAGAGTACGTTCAATTGAGTGGATTTGAAGTACTCTGTGCTTGATACGGAGAGTACATCGCCTTTTGGTTTCGCGAGATATTAGGAACAATTCCTGTGCCAACACTGTGAATAACCACTAATAAGAGTATTTCGTCCAATAGAGTAGCCGGTAAAAGCGCCAATGCAGCCAAGCTATGGATCGGGATTACAATAGAGCTACATAATCAAGTCTACATACTCCGTACTCAGGTGGAGCTTGTGATGCAGCACATGGCATTGATTAAAGCAAACCCATTAAAGCACAGATATGTTAACTATGTTCTGTTCTGTCAATGCCCTAGCATCAGGATATCCTTTACTACTCCATAACCCCCAACCACATCCAACAATGTCCCATACTCCATACTACGCATCCAACTCAACATACCCCAACAATCCAGAACACGCATCCCACAAACCCATCCAACTAAACCATAATACCTATCCAAGCAAAGAATCCTCCGTATGGCTGATATCGGTCCTGCCCGTCAAAGCTCCACTCAGCAGCTGTGCTAGAACCAATTCGTACAAGCCCGTTTGTCTCGGCATCCACCCGAGTCGTCGGATTGCAGTGGTCCGTGACGACAGACCGAGCTGGAACGCTTGGATCAAGATAGATTTTTATGGTGGTACGGAGTAGTGTACAGTACTTGTAGGGGTAGGCGTTATCTATATGCTGGGTATGCTGGAGTTATGTTATATCTGTAGTAATCAATTTTATTTATTTCCTACGCAAGGATACATTGGCAGTTTGAACGAGAAGCGAAAACAAAACACAATAAACAAAAAAAAGCAAACAGTGAAAACTCTTCTCCGCGTGGAAACCAACATAACTCCGGCCCGGTGTGCCCCGGGGAATTTGTCCTCGGCATGCCGAGACTTTCGGTCGGCGATTTTGGATTCTGGTCGGAGTTTTCCGTGCATATGTCATGCCGACAACGACGACCCATTAAAATACGTAGCCTGTACAGCCAAAAGAAGAATAAAGAATAAAATTCTTCATGTATGAAGTGCAATGGAAGGGTTAAGAGAACTACAGATTACACCTATGTCTTCCGCAGCCAGAAAAAGGTACATACCCGCGCCCCTACAAAAAAAAGAAAGAAAGAAACACCAACAAATCACCGAAAATTCCCATTCAAACAACGGTCAAAACCAGCTCAGCTCTAGCCCGCCATCGACTTCATCTACAAAATCCCCATAAGCCCCATAATGTCTGCGGGTGTCAGTACCGATCCACTGCGTACTGTGTACATGTACATGTACTTGTACATACCCGTAAATGTCCATACCCGTGTAAGTACCTATACATACAAATACATCCTCTATACACTCAATAGCCGGTACCTGTACTCTGTACAGTAAAACAAAACCAACCCAAGAACTCCGTACTTAACGAATCACAATCCCCCCCCTCAAGCCCCACAAACTGAGCCGCAAATTTTCCTCTTTGTACGGGGCTCTTTGCACGTGGGGTCCAGCCAATTATCTAATACAATTACTTTTCTTTTTCCCTCCAACCTTCATCCACACAAATCCATTGGCCAACCCGTTTGGGGTATCGGGAGAAATAGGAAGACATCCTGGTTTCTGGCTTGGTCAGGTGACCGTTGACTAACATGGTGCTTTGTATTACCCCATACAATGGAAAGTTACTTGGCGGCGGCGTAACTCCGGCGGATTATACAACAGAGAACCAAGTTCAAGGCGCATCTTTTATCTTCCATCTCTCCCGCATCCCCCGGCCGGGGGATACTCGATCTGGTCGCCGAAACGGGTAAGGACTGTCATGAGGTGGCGAAGATTTGGGTCGATGGTTCTATGAGTACATGGTGAATTGATGAAGGTATTCGAAGAAGTAAGAATGCTTTGGAAGGTGTTGTATTCACTTGTGGTTGTACGGAGTGCTGCCTCCATTTTTCTCCAAGACGAATGATGAGCAAAGGTCGCCTATTGTACAGCATTCTCTACAAGTATCTGTACAAGTACGGCGTACCCGAATAACCAACATCATCATGAGCCCTCCCACCGGGTCGCATTTCCAATATTCGGACTTTAAAGTCACAAGGCATGGCTCTTCAACAAGACATGGCTGCATAAAAGTAACCATCCCATCATCCTGCATATCAGAGCGACCAGTGCGATTCTAGAACACATCCATTGACAAGCTATCCTGGTCCGGGGAAGCATCCCGGACTGAAAATACGGTGTACTCGATAATCATGGCATCATATGATCTTGAACTTTTTATATGCTTTTTCTATGGTGATGTGGAGATAGTAAGGTACATGTGAACCAAGAAAACTCGCAAGAAAACTGTTTGGTATCTGGTATCAAAACAAAACTGAGATCGACAAAAAAGTGAAGATGCATTTTTAGTGGCCTAATAAGGCCGGGTCCCTAGTCGCAGCGATGACAGGCGTAGTCGTAGGCCGAAATTTTTGAATGCTGAAAAAGCCTTCCGGAGCACAAGATAAACATAAAAAAAAAAAAAAAAACAAAACCACCATGACCCAAATGCCCATCGCCATCGCCATGCAACTGGGACGAAACAAAACTGTACAAGATAATTAATTCCGTAGAGTCGGTCCTCTAAATAGCCCAGATCATAGAAACAAACAGCCGAGGCCATGCAGTGTGAAAATGAAAAAAACCGAACGAAGAAATAAGACCACAGATGAACGTAAAATAAATCCCTCAAGTGCGCCAAGATGCTATGCAGAGTCGTCGTGATCGTAACTGTCACAAGGGTATTTTATCGGTGGTCTTCACTGAAAAGACATGAAGCAAAGTCGGTGGAAAATCGGGTATCAAACACATTAACCCATCCCGAAAAACGAAGCGGCACATGCACGAGTCGTGACCCGGTGAAAAGAAAGGAAGAAAGAAAGATGAAGAGGAAATGAAGTCGAGAAATGAAGAAGCAAAGGGGTCTCTACCATCCCTTGGCATGGTATTCCCACGGTCCATAGTCGGTATAATTGGAATAGGAACCATTTCCTTTCGATAGCTCCTTCTCCTTATGTTGGTCGGCCTGTCCTCGAGCTCCCTTAGCTCCAGGATATTCCTGCAGGTTGGCCATGTCATGGGCAGTGTGTCGTCGCTTCAAGAAGGCGTTTGCTGTTGCGCCCTTCTGCTGACGCTCCCACAGGAGATGGTGTCGGAGGGATTCGGTCAACTCGGTAGCAAGCATGTTTCTGCGCGTAGTCCGCGGCGAATGGGCGACTGATTGCGGATTGGGTGTCACGATGATCGGCTTGGATCGGGGCACTTCAGGACCA